CCGATATTTTAAAACTCATGTAGCCGATAACCGATATCGATACGGATGTTAAAGCTGGACAAAAATAAGTAGTCATTGAAAATAGCAGTTTTGTTATCCATTTCTGACACTTTGAAAAATAATATACTCAAATATATTTTCATATGCTGATATCAAATAGATATATATTGACGCGGTATCGATCTATTTTACTAACAAAATCTCACAAGAATTTGCAAAATATCACGAGAGTTTGTAACAGAACGATGAAATTTCACGAGATTTTGAAAGTAAAATAGTTCGATTCCGCGTTTTTAAAAATCTATTTGATATCAGCATATGAAAATATATTTGAGTATATTATTTTTCAAAGTGTCAGAAATGGATAACAAAACTGCTATTTTCAATGACTACTTATTTTTGTCCAGCTTTAACATCCGTATCGATATCGGTTATCGGCTACATGAGTTTTAAAATATCGGATATCGGCCAAAATCCCAATATGGTGCAGGGTTAGTGCTGAGGACCACTGCTCTGTGATGAAGCACAGCTGGAACCCAGGAACATTATCAAAAAATGAGTAAAAATGTCTTCAAATAAAAGTGCGTTTGGTCCTAATCTGAGCAGGTAAACAGCTTCTACCCCTAAAATGATTGATAGATTTGATGACCTGGAAAAAGATAATGGATCACTTAAAAAAAAATCATCTTGTTCTATAGTCTCATCTACTCATATCCAGACTTTAAGCTTTTTGGGGGGTTAGGGTTTCTAGATTCAAATAAAACGACATGAAGCCAGTTTGATGGTGAAACATGAAGTGAGCTGAAAGAAAGTGGCTCAAAGATGGAGGATCTGGCAGATTAACAGAGATCGAAGGAAACTGGCCTTGAAGCACTACCAACCTGAGCTGTGATCTTCAGAGGACCTTTCCCAGCTCCTTTAGACTCCACTGTGAACTCAGCCAGTTGGTCAACCTGGCAGCCGCTTGCCTCGAGCCCAGGCCCGTAAGCCTGAACCTAAAATCACAGAACATTCAGAACATATGAAGATCCAGCACTAAATATCATTGGAGGCTCTCAGGATCATAGCATGTTTTGTTTGCGGGACCTTCTCTGGGTGACTGGTGTGGTTGTCAGGGATAATGTGAGCCATGAAGGGGCTGTGTTCGATGTCCTCCTCATCACAGGTCACATGGACGGCATATTCGCCCGCCTCTGTTGGCCAGTAACGAACATCACAAGACCCGTCGTTTTTGTCCTCGCACTCAATTTTAGCCTGGGAAGGACCTTCGATGGCGAAACCTGAAAACGCAGAGCAAATTAGAGGGGTGGGGCCACTAAAGTTATTTATGTGGAGGATGCATGATTGGACGACCACTTACCGAGAACTCCTACATCGGTGCCGATGGACTCAACTACAAAGGTTGCAGGTTTACCAACGATGCCCCCCTCCAAACCTGGACCCCAGGCCCTGATCTGCTGAGGCCCCGCCTCTGGACTGACTGCCACATCAAAGGGACTGTTGGCGAGCAAAACAGGGAAGACCAGTCAGAATCTGGGGAACATTTAGATGTCAAATCTGTGGGTCCAAGGGTGAAGTCAAAGGTGATCAAATGTCAACGGTATTCAACTCTCATGGGAATCTACGTCCAGAGCAATCTAATGCATCCATCGGGTTTTCATCAGATTTCATACCTGATCTCAGACTTTTCCATCACTGCAGCTAAACCTCATTTAATATATCAGTTTATCAAGTTCTTCTAGCGGCGTTAAAATGAAAATGGGCTCAGTTTGCTCCTCACCTCTTTGGGATGTGCTGACCCCCCCAGGTGATGGAGACGGTGTACTTGCCAGGACTTTTGGGATAATACTCGTAGGAGAACACGCCGTCCTGACTAGAGACCTGCTTCACAGGCTCCTCCATGCCTCCTGCAACAGCAAACATGAACAAACAGCATGCTCAGCAACTGGGTGAAATATTCAGATGCGTCTTTGATGAACCTCAAGTTCTGTTTGAGGCCAGTTTGAAGCAGGAATCATTTTCAGGTTGGATTTGTTTTGTCCTGCAGCCGTCTGTTAGCCCTCCATCAAGGCCAGAGAAGGAAGTTGCAGACAATAGAAATATTGTTAATGGGACAGAGTCAACCTGGGAATCAATATCGGGCTTCAGACTGACTAATTGATTCAGTCACAAACAGATGTACATAAAATAGGAAACTCAAATTATTATAGAAATATATGTCAAGATGCTAAGAAAGGTTTAAAGGAATAGTACAGCCAAAACATGATTAGCCTTCATTTTCTACTCACCC